TCTTGCTCATATGTTATTTCATTAAATTCTTCTGTGTCTGCCAATTCCTTTCGATACAGTGACTCAGTATATTCTTTCCATCTTCTTTTAATACTTGTTGGATCATTTAATATTCTGCCTCAAGCATCCTTGATTATAGCAACTCGAGATCTGAATTTGTTCTTCAGTTCCTTGAGCTTAAAAAATGCTGAATGAGTTCGGCCCTTTTGATTTTCCAACTCCAACTCCTTGCACATTTCATTGCAATATTTTGCTTTGTCATCCCGTGCTGCCTTTTGGACAGTTCTGTTCAGCTCTTTAGTATCTTGAATTCTTCCTTGTGTTTTGGCTTCTCTACACTCCAGTGCATATCTTCAGAATTTCTCCAGACATCCATTTTGGTCTTTTTTTTCTTTTCTGTCTTTGTAATGACCATTTGCACTCTTCCTGGATAATACATTTGACATCCTCCCACAACTCATTAGATCTTCGCTCATTAGTGTTCAAGGCCTCAAATCTGTTTCTGAAATTCAGGTGGGATGAACTCAAAGTCCTATTATAAATGGTACTGCTTTATTTCTATCTCTGAATTCTCTTTGTTACTGTAGAGGAATCCTATTGATTTTGGGATATTCATCTTATATCCTGCCACTCTACTAAACTGACTTATTAATTCTAACAGTTTTTTGGTTGAGTCATTGGGGTTTTCTGTGTACACTATCATATCATTAGCATATAGAGACAGTTTAACCATTTTTTTTGCTGATCAAGACCAACTGCTTTTTTTTTTAAAAAAAAAGTGTAATTTCCACTTTATTTTCAGACAAGTTTTTTCTTCAGTTTTTAAGGAATCAAATCCTTACATGGGCTTTGGTGGGGTCCTGGGGCAGCACCTGGAGGTCCAAATCTAGGTGGAGGTGTTCAGTCCTTCCAGGCTTCAAGAGAACGGTTCCTCACCACCTTGCTGTGAATGGCACAACGCAGACAGTAGGGCAGTTTCACACAGAGCTTTGGAAGCACATAGGCGTCGAAAACACTAGCTTCGGAAATGTCCTTGACGGCAGCTGCCTCTACTATATTTCGGATTACGAACTTCTTAATTGCCTTGTCTTTGGGCACGCACCGGGCGCAGTTCATGCAGCGAATAGGCTGCACGTGACCTTGGCCCTTCTTGTCACAACCATCGTTTCTCCTTTTCTTTGTCATGCTTGAAGCAAGGGTCTGAGAGAGTTCAACTGCTTTTAAATCCTATTGTGTAGTTCAAATGTCTTTCCTTCACCAATCTAAACAGTTGATTAAATGGGCCTTTATACATAACTAAATAAAAAACAAAGCAGATAATAAGTTAAATTAAAAGTTTCTATTTTAAAAAAAGAAAGAAATGATGTTTCTTTTATGGACAATGAGAATTATGTAAATGATCCTGCTTTCCCTTTTTATTTTGGGTGACAGGAAAGTCAAATGCAACTATGAGATACAATTTTAATACATTATGCACAACCCTATGCTTACAGCAGCTTTAGGTTCTGAAGATTCCCAAATACTAACTTGGTTTTCTTTTTAGTATTCTTCTTCTGTGTGGAAACAAAGATTCTCACCACTGGGCCGACTGGCAGCATTATGATTGATAGTGAAGAGATTGAGATTTTGTTAACGGCTTTAATTTGCTTGGTTCCACAATCAACACTTTTGGTACCAGCAGCCAGGAAATCAAAAGACTAATTTTAATGGGAAAGTCAGCTGTCAGGGGCCTCTCCAGAGTACTGAAAAGCAAGGACATCAGTATGGAGACTAAGGTGTACCTGATCCAGGACATCATCTTTGTAATTACTCGTTATGTGTCAGAAAGTTGGACAGTGACTAGGGACGACATAAAGAGAATTGATGCCTTTTGGTTGTGATGCTGGAAAAGAATATTGACTATACCATGGAATGCCAGGAGAACAAACAGGTTTGTCCTAGAGAGGGTGAGAAACCAGGCTGTTCCTTGGAGGCAAGGATTCTGAGGCTTTGTCTGACATACTTTGGGCAGGTTGCAAGGAGTGACCAGTCCCTGGAGGGACTGTCCTTGGGAGGGAAGGGAGACAGTGTAAGAGATGAAGACCCTCAATGAAATGGATTGATTCAGTGACAGGGGTAGTGAGGGTAGCTGTGTCAGAGACAGTAAGATTGGCACAGGATAGAGCAGGTTTCAGGGCTACAGTACATAGGGTTGCTATGAGTTGCAAGCAACTCGACAGCACATAACAACAACAACTACATGAAAGTATTTTTTAATTTCTCCAACACTGCTTACATGAATATAAGGCATAGTAATATCAATAAAGAACATCATGCTTGGAAGGGCAAAGGATCAGCGGAGGAGAGGAAGACACTGGATGAGATGGATTGACATAATAATTGTGGCTATGGGGACAGGTGTGTAAAACAGTGAGACTGGCTCAAGACAAAAAGGGTTCAGAGCTATTGTTCACAGGGTCACTATGAATTGCAGTCTACTCAACAGCATATAACAATATTCTCATACAATTTTAAAACTAAGAGACAATATGGTGCATACCAACTCTCTTGTTTAATCAATGCATAAAACCTCAAAGTCAACATAAAGAACTGTGAATACAGTCATGACTTCATTGCCATAGTGCCACCATCAATTTTATCTGCTGTCCTTCACTTACAAAAGGTTATCCCCTTAATTTTCAAGAAAAGTTACAGCAAAGATACTTCTTCCAGAACTAGACAGGTTCATTCCTATAATAAAAAGAACCTCTAGGTGTTACATGGAGCCTTAGTAGCAAGGAGTTGTGGCAAGGAGTTGTCTTGCCAATCCAAAGGGATGCAGTTCAAATCCACCAGATGCTCTGCAAGAAAAAGAGGAGCAATCTCTTCCTGTGTGATTTACTGCCTCTGAATTCTGCTAAAGGAGCAGCTACGAGTCATTTCCAACTTGAGAGCACATAACATAGGTGTTAAAAATGAAGGTTTGACGCTATCACATAAGACTTGTGTTCAAATTGTGGCATCACAATTTGCTAGCTGTAGGAGTTTCTTTACATTTAAAATCAGACAGTAACATCTAAGACGGTCCTGAAGATTAAAAAAATATATATGAAACACCTAAATAATGCATTATGTAGTATTTGTACTTAATAAAAATAACTTGCTGTCATTGTTGATATTAACGTCTTTTAACCTTTTATCTATTTCTGCAAGATTCTACGCAAAGATTTTCTTGCATGATTAAAAACCAGAAATTCTCCACCAAAATGGGTATTTAACCTAAATAATTCAGTGACTGGGATACTCTAACTAGTATTTTGGATTTTAAATTTACCTGAACTGTCCAGTGCGAAGAAAACATAGAGCTCGGTTTCCGTAAAGCAGATGATTCTCAGGTCTTTAAAATAAAGAATATATAGTAAGATGCATTGCACATAAAACAAAATTCCCACAGAAAATGTAAAATGTGGAAAAAATTTCAAGAACTTTACATATTTATAGCATTACAGAAAGAATATAGGACTTGGGAGTCTTTAATTGGCTAATTCTCAGCTTTTTCACTTTATGAATTAACTTGGTTCCAATCAACTTAAGCTACCCCACATAAAAATGAAGATAGCATTATTTGATCTGTCCAGCTCATGGTGCAGGTGTGATGGGCCATTGCAAACCCTAGCAAATGCTATGTGCTAACTACTGAGGGTGTTACCAGCACAGACAGGACTTTGACCACTCAACAAAGAAGTTTATAAATGGCAACAGTAAGTAGCTTCATTTTAAATTGTGTCCTTTTTACTTTTATCTATGTGGTACAACATAATTTCTCTTTCCTCAGGGCATAGTAGCAGCTTTTCAGATGCTTTCTCTATGCATTCTAACTTGATATATCCATTGCCTCTGGAGAAGGGAGGGCAAAGTAGGAAAAAGAACAGCTGTCTATAGAGCATCATAAATGCTGTCAAAAATCAGGTGACACAGCCAAGATCCTCAGTGGAAGGACTGAGTCTGAGGTCCACCTGGAGGGAGGAATGCTACAAAATTCTAACAGCAGAGCACAGACAGGCTGAAAGGGCATTCTCTCAGGAATACCAGCCATCACCTTAAAAAAATGTCCTTTCTAAAATGCAAGAATCTCACAATGGGAGTATCTTAAGGATTATAACTAAGTCTTTTAAGTCAATTAATAACATGAAAGAACTTACATGACAAGACAAAATAAATTACTTTGCACTGGAAAGATTTAAATGAAAGTAGTAGAGTAGAATTAAATGAACAATTTTGCCTGATTTGCTTGAATAATACTACTTGGTTATATTCATGTACTTATGTCATCTGTAATACTTCTTAAATGACTAAAGACAAGAAAATCTAAAAAAAAGAAAATCTGTTTTACTCACCAAGTCAAAAAGAATTATAAAATTCCTCAGTTTGTTTTTATTTCTCCTGATGAGCATTCTAACTTGATCTGTCACATAAAATACCATTTTAAAATAACCATTCTTCTATTAGGATCTCACCTATATTCCATGGCTTTGGTATAATAAATAATAGCAAGATGAAATCTATCTTTGGAAAATTCTTCATTTCCTCTTATTTTCATAATTTCTCCTTGCTGAAAAACCAACATGAAAGATGACTCATCAGTTAACTCCAAAGACAACCCAGAACCCCAATACCTGGAAAAAATGGTTTTGAGTTTTTAACTTTTACATTAGAAATAAACTGAGGCAACTTATGTAGATAGTGAGAGTAGAACGTCATTTTTGTACTTATTTTCAAAGAAGCCTATCTCTAATGATGCACTACTAATATAGCTAATTATTAATGATTTATCCCCTTATGTACAATATTTGGTACTATCATTTACAAATCAATCTTAAGCCTATATAGTATGGCAGGATAAAAAGCTTTATGAGCTAGAACTGTAAAGTTGGGGTAGCAAAAATGATACAGTAATTAGTCTTGAATGCTTAAAAAAAAACCCCCAACATGAATCAAAGGCTTTGGCAATGGTCTTTACCGCATAAAAAGCAGTAAATTAATCTACAACCAGGAGAAGATAAAACAGATGAATGTGACCTTTTAAGAATCAAATCCTTATGAATATCCAAAAACTTCTCCAACAGGGTAAAAACGGAAACCACAGACTGGGAAAAAGTATTTGGTAATGACATGTCAGATAAGGGACTTATATCTAGAATTTATAAAATACTTAAGCACCACAACAAGATAAAGGTAAACAATCCAATTGAGAAATGGGCACAGGATGTGAACAGTCACTTCACCAAAGAATACATTCAGATGACCAACAAGCACATGAAGAAATGTTCAAAATCCCTAGCTCTAAGGGAGATGCAAATCAAAACAACTATGAGATATCATCTCACTCCAGTAAAAATAGCAAAATTTAACAGAACAGCAAACAACAAAAGCTGGAGAGGTTGTAGAGAAACTGGAACCCTTATTCATTGTTGGCGGGAGTGTAAATTAGTACAGCCACCGTGGAAGTCGGTGTGGAACTTTCTCAAAAAGTTGTAAATAGAGATACCATTTGACCCAGCAATTCCACTACTGGGAATATACCCCAAAGAGACCATAACTGCTACCCAAGCAGATATATGCATACCCATGTTTATTGTGGCTTTGTTCACAATAGCAAGGAGTTGGAGACAACCTAAGCACCCATCAACAAACGAATGGATAGAGAAGCTGTGGTATATTCACACAATGGAATACTACACTGCATTGAAAAACAAGGAACTCATGCAATATTATTCAAAATGGGTGACCCTGGAGGACATTCTGCTGAGTGAAGTATCTCAGTCACAAAGGGACAAATACTGCATGCTGCTACTGTTGTAAAACAGGACTGACCTGGGGGTGGGGGGGGACTGAGAAAATTAGATTAAATAATGTATACTGCATTGAAACAGATGTGGGAGAGAACTGTTTAAAAGGGATGTGTGATTATGTATTACTGTCACGACAGGAATCTAGAACAAAGGCTGCATAGTGGAGTGGATGTGGGGGGAGGGATTGTAAAACAATGAAAGAGATGAGTGTATTTGGGGGAGGTGTGGACAGAGAGAAAAGTGTAACAATGAATGAATGGAAATCCAAAATCTGTAAATTTTCATTAAAATTAATACTATTAAAAAGAGTATTAAAAAATTATGAGAAAACAAACAAACAAAAAAAGCAGTAAATTATTAAGAATATATGTTAAATCAGAATTGGTATAGATATAACCTAAACTTTTCCCCTTTAAAACTCAAAATTAAAACAATTAAAAGTTTTAAATTATCTAGATCATTTCCATGGTGTCAGTGAACTTACTAAAGAATTAGATACTCTCCTAAATCCTTTTTAAAGGATATTTGCTCCTAGTGAATTATATAGCATGTAAATTACAACTCAGTAAAGCTGAATTAAAAACCATTAGTTTCAAAAAACAAAATTAAAACTGTTAAAATTGAAAATTCAGATTTTATTTTTTCCTCCTCCAAAAATAAACATTCAAAATCATTTTTTACCATGTTATTAAATTCTACAATACTTCAATATGTCTCAAGCATCGAGGACTCTCCGTCATAGGGTCGCTATGAGTCACCTGCAATTCGATGGCACTTAACAACAACAACCGTTCAATATGTATGTTGTCAAGACATATTTATTATTAGCTTGTGGAGAGAGTGCTAAAAGTTCTAACAGGTAAATCTTAAAATCCACTTACAAGTAAATATTGATTCTTACCTCTGTACATCCTGCACAATCTGGGGTGTTAAATTCCTCAAGCAAATCATAGTCTTCTGTTACAATTTTAGTTATATGATACTTATCTAAATTTTATTTTTAGGAGGGGAAAAGAGAGAGACAGAAAGAATGCTTGTTTAAAAATGTTTCAAATAAAAGTCATTGGTAATGATCTTCACAAATTTGTGTGTCATCCTTGCGCAGGGGCCATGCTAATCTTCTCTGTATCATTCCAATTTTAGTGTATGTGCTGCCGAAGCGAGCACAATGATCTTATTCTTAGAGTACGAAGGTCCATGAACTAGTAAGAAGAATTAAAGTAAGAAGTTTATAAATTAAATATTCTTTCTCAAGAATTTACAAAAAAGCTAAGGAAAGATTTACAAACAGCATCATTCTTAGATGGTTACAGGGATAGGAAGGGAGGAATAGTTAAGTAAAGATTAGTAAACAGACAAAAGGCACGTACTACTATGACTGAAAAGAGAAACATTAACTAATCAGGGGGCAACTTCCAATTTTCCTAGATTCATTTTCATACATTTCACATTCTAATTATTAATAGATGTTTGTAGCTGTTTCTCCTCATTTTTCAGTGTTATGCAACCTGAGGGCTCTATTTCTAGTACAGTATCTAACCATATTCCTCTACGGTTGATAGGATTGTAGGCGGCCTCATTTTAAATGGCCAATTTTGTTTCTTAGCTTATCTTAATCTGGAAGCTCTGCTGAAACTTGTCCATGGTGAGTGACCTACTGGTATGTGAAATACTAGTGCCATGATTAAGGTTGATGGAAAAAGAATCAACATCTTTAAGTTGTGGTGTTAAAGAAGAGTACTGAATATCCCATAGAACACCAAAAGAACAAATACATCTTGGAGAAAGTGCAATCAGGGTGCAAGAGACAGAAATGGTGAAACTTCTACTCATAAGAGCAATAGATTCATTGTTGTTGTTGTTATGTGCCGTCGAGTCGCTTGCGACTCATAGCGACCCCATGTACAACATCCCTAAACTCCGCTCTGTCCTGTGCCAATTGCACTGTCTCTGACACTCCTATCCTGATTATCCCAGTCACTGAATCAATCCACCTCATAGAGGGCCTTCCCCTCCTGCACTGTCCCTCCACCCCCCCAAGCATGATGTCCCTCTCCAAGGACCGGTCTCTCCTCACTACACCTTAGTATGTTAGACGGAGCCTCAGAATCCTTGCCTCCAAGGAGCCACCCGGTTTAACCCTTTCCAGGACAATTATGTTTGTTTTCCTAGCAGTCCATGGTATTCTCAGTACTCTTCTCCAGCACCACAGCTCAAAGGCATCAATTCTCCTTCTATCCTCCTTAGTCACTGTCCAACTCTCTTATGTATAACAACTGATTGCGAAGACCATGGCCTGTATCAAACGCACCTTAGTCTCCAGGGAGACACCATTGCTCTTCAGTACTTTGGAGAGGTCCCTAACAGCAGACTTTCCCATTACAATACATCTTTTCATTTCCTGGCTGCTGGCCCCAATGGTGTTGACTGTGGAGCCAAGCAAACTAAAGCTGTGAACAATCTCAATCTCTTCACCCTCCATCCTGATGCTGCCAATTGGTCCAGTGGTGAGAATCTTTGTCTTCTTGACATTGAGCCTCAATCCATGTTGAAGGCTGCAGTCCTTGACTCTCTGCAGCAGGTGCTTCAGGTCCTCTTCAGTTTCAGCAAGGAGGGTTGTGTCATCTGCATAATGCAGATTGTTGATAAATCGTCCCCCAATCTTGACCCCACATTTCTCCTCATAGAGCCCTGCCTCCCAGATAATCTGTTCTGCATATAAGTTGAAAAGGTATGGAGATAGGATGCATCCCTGGCATATGCCCTTTCCAATTTTGAGCCATGCAGTGTTCCCTTGCTCTGTTCTGACGACTGCCTCGTGGTCCAAGTATATGTTTCGCATTAGCACGATCAAGTGTTCTGGGATTCCCATTCTTCTCAGAGTCAGCCACAGTTTGTTATGATCCACACAGTCAAATGTCTTTGCATAGTCAATGAAACACAGATAGACATTCCTCTAGTATTCTCTGCTTTCAGCTAAGATCCATCTAACATCAGATAATATATCCCTAGTACCACGACCCCTTCTAAACCCAACCTGGACTTCTGGTAGTTCTCTGCTGATGTGCTGTTCCAGTCGTTTTTGGATAATCTTCAGTAAAATTTTGCTTGCATGTGAAATCAGTGAGATTGTTCACTAGGGGGAAAATTTTACAATCATAATAACTCCTTTTTCTTATGAATGAAAATAAATAAGCCTTGGTTGTGACATTTTCTTGGAGGTTTTATACAAATATATGATAGCAATTTGGCAGGAATTCTTTTTATTTAAGTATAATGTCATAAAAAAAGAATTCTAACAAGAAACATAAAATGAAAGAAATTGTATAATTAAAGTTCTCTTATTAAGATATACATGAAAAAGGATAACTTTTTTAATGTCTAAAATAAATTAATAAGACCATGTTCTAGTCTGTTGGTTTTTGGAACTGAGGTCATGATTAAGAGGGACAGCCACAGCATTCTTATTGCACTGCTAGAGATGAAACTCTTGCATTGGCATCAGACAGACCAAAGCAAAAGCATTTGTAATAATTTTTTCATTAATCAAGAATGAAAGTCAGAGGTATAAAGACAACCAGATACCATCATAGTTCTGACCACAAAAATAAATTTGAAGTCATATATTTACCCATTTCCTTTTACCAAATAATGTATTTAAAAACTAAGTGAAGTGACAATTTAAAGCATGTACTTACACTCAGTAAAGAAAATACTTAACATAGGCCAACAATTTTCCAGTGATCCTAATTTAGTCAGAAGTGTTACGTCACCTACGAATCTCATCCAGTTCACAGCCTCTTCAAATGCCAAGACTTTCTGTTTTAAAAATAAAGACAATGATTAAAGGATAAAGAATCACTTTTAATGTGAAATGTGTAAGATGGCATCAGCAATTTATTTTATACAGCAGTAGTTCAGATCCGTACTACAAAACTAGGAGGCTCGGCCCCAGTCACTGAGCCACTGCCAAGAACTCAGCTGCCTCCCCCCTCGAGCGCCCTCCAATGAGGAAAAGGAATCCTATCATATGTCTGCTATCCAGAATCCTTCAACCCCTTTGTTGATGCAAGTAAATGTAACGACCTGCTTCCTGCTGGGACTGAGGATGATATTCATGTAAGAATTCAAGAGAGAAACAGCAGGAAGACCTTTACAACTTTCCAAGGGATCACTGATGATTATGATAAAAGAAACTAGTGAAAGCGTTTAAGAAGTTTGCCTGCAATGGTGCTGTAATTGAGAATCCAGACTATGGAGAAGTATATTCAGATACAGGGCAACCAGCACAAGAACATATGTCAGTTCCTTGTAGAGCTTGGACTAAGGATGAGCAGCTGAAGGTTCATGGGCTTTAAGTGCTTGTAGCTCACTGAAGCTTAAGTGAGGATTTCCTTGCAATGAGTAGAAAATGTCCCTCTTGTCCCTTGTCACAAGTGTAAAACTTCACAGCTTGTATAATGTAACCACTTGGGGTCCACTGTGTGTGTGTGTGTGTGTGTGTGTGTGTGTACCGTCAAATCAGATCTGACTGGTACAGGAGGAGATTGTCCCTCCTTTTCCCGGCAGAGCATCTGGTGGATTCGAACCGTGCGCCTCTGGGATTGTAGTTGCAACTCCTTGCCACTAGGCCACCAGAGCTCCCCTGGGGTCCACTTCTAACTTGGACTAATGAAACTCTTTCATGCAATCAACTGAAAAGAAAAAAACCCAAAAAACACCAAAACCCCAACAACAACAACAACAACAAAACCTAGTAAGACTCACACATTTTCATTTATTCCAAATACAACACCTAGGTAACAATCAAATAAACAGAATAAAATGAACTCAGAGTTTCAACTTGAGGTGATCTCAGATCACCTTTAGAGTTCAAAATACTTATGAACTGAATCCAGACCTGAAAATTCAGGTCTACAGCCTAGCCAGACGCTGTGCTGAGCAGCCAGGAGACAGCAATAATACAAACGATGGGTGAGTGGGGGTTCACTTCTCATCTAAACTGGGCTCCATCCTTAAAACTAGCCCAAGATTGAGGATATAGACCGAGGTTCACTAAAAAGAATATAGAATTATCTGGTGGCCTCGTGATAAAGAGTCATGCTGACAAAATAAAGTCACACACGGTTCGAATCCACCATCTACTCCATGGGAGAAAGATGGCCCATCTCCTCTTAGTCTGAGAAAACTTGCTAAAGGGTCACCTATGAGTCAGTTCCAACTCAAAGGCAAACAATAATAACAAAGAGAATATGTATTTTACATTGTGTGTGGCAAATAAAGAAGACGAACAACAAGAGAACATGTAGTGGCTAGAATCCCACTACTAGGTACACTCTAAAAACATAAAAGCTACATCATAAACAGACATGTGCACATTATCTTCACTGTAGCATTATTCATAAGAGCAAAGAGGTGGAAACAACCAAAATGTTCCTCAAAAGATTAATGGATATAGTAACTATGGTACACAATGGGATACTATGCGACATTAAAAACCAATTGAAAATGCACAAAATGTTGCACAGCATGAATGTACCTACACAACATTATGCTGAATGAAATTAATCCATCACAAAAGCACAAATATTATATAAGACCACAACTATTAAAAAGATAAAGATAGGTTTACACACAGATATAATTATTCTTGAGTAGTTCCCAGGAATTAGAAAAATTAGGGGAGTAAATATTAAGAATTGAATAGACATTTAAGATGGGTAAAGTGAAAGGTTTGGAAACAGGAGTGACATTCACTTCCTAAACAACATGCCTCCAGAAACTCTATGAACTTTGATAAATGTTGATAGTTGTAGAAGGGCTTCAGGCCTTTTGTTCAAAAGGTTGTTATGAGTCGTGCTTGACTCAAAGGCAATCAACAACAACAACAACAAAGTGAAAGGTAGTAAATAAGAAACGGATGATCAGATATTGTGAGTACTGTAATTAATGTTATAAAACAAAATGTTCATGAATTAATGGAAAACAATCTATAAACTCACTCAAATCACAATAATTTTTTTTAAAAAAGAAGGCATAGCAGGGTTAAGTGGGCCCCTCTGCATAATGACCTTCATGAATTCTTCAGAATTGACAGAAATGTTACTAATATATGTCTGAAATAACTTCAAAAATGAAATACTTGAGTTATCAATGTTAAAGAGTTAAGAGAAACAAGTAGATGTTTCTATCACCACTAGTATTAAAAATTGGTTTATTATTCATTGTAGCTGGAGATTGTTGTTGTTGTTATGCGCCTTCGAGTCGTTTCCGACTCATAGCGACCCTATGCACAGCAGCCCTAAACCCTGCTCTATCATGCGCCAACTGCACCACCTCTGACACACCCATCCCGATTACCCCAGTCACCGAAT